GTGGATAAGCTGTTGCCAGCATGCTTTGCTGATATCCAGCGATGTATGTTGGAAGCAGCTTATCCACATAGCTTCTATCAAGTGCACGTCACTTCCGGTGACACGCCTACCCCAACTCACGGATATCGAGTATATTGTCGAGCCAGTTGATTGGTTTGGTTGGATGAAAAAAAAATCAGAATATGACTCCTATGCTTGATTCAGACATAACTTTTGTTAAAAATCTAAAATACCTGCATAGTATCACTCAGCTTAGTCAGTGTATCTTTGGGACTCTAAATAAGGCATTCTACCTCACTACCTCATTTTGCCGTCTATGGCGTTTAGCAAAATGAATCCCTGCACTGTTGTCAATAGTCTTATTCTCTCACTCTGTCTGATGGAACAGTGTTTGCTGAACATTTTACAGTACTATTTTCAACCCATTGGTAAAAAAGCTACCAAAAGAACTCAAAGCAGAGTTTTTTGAGGCTTTATCCGTTCCGCTTCTGCTGATTGCTTTGAATCTATCGTAGACTTCTTCTTGGTCCAGGGAGGGAAACAGGTTCGAAAACCTCTTAGGCTGGTGTCAGAGTCCGCGATCCGTCGCAGGTTTCGCTGATTTTCGCGATTTGCGCGATTTTCGCGAAACCTGCGATGGATCACAGGAGTTGGAAGTGCCCGATGAATACTGCGAGGTGTTGTTTAATCCTGCTGCGAATTCTGCTTGACAGTAAAGATTGAAAGACGAATGTTTGTGGTTCTACTTGTTTCATGTTCAAAAATCAAAAACAGGTAAAAACCAATCATGCACATTTGAACGGACTGCGAAACATTAAACACAGAATTGTGAACAGTCTTTCGGTCATCACTGTATAAAGAAATGGCAACAGGATCAATAAAATAATGTTGAAAACACACACAAGGCGCCCGCGAACTGTGCTGGAACATTTTCAAATTTCCCGCACACTTCGCGGGCGCTACCGGCTCGGCCGTGCTCGCCGCGGCGCCCATAAAACGTGAAAAAAGTAGGGGGGGGGGGTGATGGGGGCACTTTCGATTCCTCTGATACGTCGCAGGCTTCACAAAAATTGCAAGTGCCCCATTTGAACATTTGAAACACTGAATATGAAACAAGTGGAATCATGAGCAGTCGTCATTCAGCCATCACTATCAAGCAGAAGTGGCGGCGGGATTGGAGAACACCTTGCAGTATTGATCGGGCACTTGTGATTTCCGTGACCCGTCGCGTGAATCGCGCAAATCGCGAAAATCAGCGAAACCTGCGACGGATCGCGGACTCTGACACCAGCCTTAAAGTTCAACTTCGGAATTCGTAATGATATACCCTTTGTAATGCTTCCTAATCAAGCGCATTGCAATAATGTTGAAGCCTGTGTAAAGTAATTAAAAATGCTGCACCACCAAGCATTGGGTGGCGTTGTCATAAGTGGTTTAAACGCCATTTTCGCTGATCTCCGAGTAATTTCTCGAGTATCTTGAATACCATCTAAACGTTTTCTTCGGAGTGAAATAGAATGTCCATACTATTTTAAGCGCACAAACGAGAGTTCGAGAAGAAAAGAAAGATGCACTACAACGAAGGCGCAGCGCTGAAAGCGATGAAGGCGCAACTGGAGGATGAGGACATGGAATAGATAGTTCCAACACCGAAGGAGATGCATGCCTGACCTTATGGTTCTTCTCCGCTACGCGCTGTCCTTCGTTGTGTGAAGCAATATTTGTGCATTATTTATATCAATTTTATGAAAAATTGTTCAATAATTGAGAAAAGTGATATTGATTGCAAACATGGACTCGGCTAAAGCCTTATAGTTCATCTGAACTGTAGATCAACTGTATGCCGACGTCGCAGCTCTCTCGTGAAAGTTAGTCGAATTTTGTGGTTCTTTTTGTGCACACAAGTTTGACGATGACGCTTTCATGACTGAAGTTTCTGTTTGGATTTTTACTCTATAAGCACTTTTCTTCACATGAGATGGGATGTGTTTTAGATAGTAAGTGCTCACATTCCACCTCCGAATGTTCGATAATTATTTCTGTATTGTACATCTTATACGGTAGCTCATTCTTTGACCTTCTACAGTGTATAGCTTTTATATTGAAGAAATTAACGATGTTAATGTGTGTTCACACATCAAGTGAAGCTATTTTTTGCTTTCGTTTTTGTAGGGTTTCTGTTGCGAGGTGGGTGAAATCGACAATCCTATATGTGTTGAAGATGTGCATCATTATGACTATGTAAGGTGGGTAAACGATGGAAGCTATAAAGTCTGAATTAATTAGATTGAGTAATTAAATTCAAACAACATCATAGGATGTTTGCATTTTTATTGCTGCGGCTGCCGATATTTATAATTACTCATATTTCTCTCCTTTGCGTTCCATTAACCAATTCAACCAGGCGCTTTATACATATTAGGGGATTGCATTAATTTTTGCCGCTCAGATTAGAAAGCCTTATCACTAGTAACATGAAAGATGAAATTTTTCACACACTTCATTCTTTTCTTGGAATTTCCCAACAAAATGCGATAATTAAACTTGTTAATTTCTGTGTGAGTCTGCGAGTACAATTTGATGGAAAAATCAAAGGGTACCAGAGGTATCAAGGGGAGCTCCCGAGAAAACTATAACACTTCTTTGGTTTGGGAAAAAGGACCAATAAAGCACATCGATTGCTACAAACATGTTCTTCAACATGAAATGTAGGCAGAATTGTAATCCACAATTCGTGGCGATGAAAACGAAACATTTGTGGTCATGGTAACTGCTGTGAGACGAAAGGGTATCAGCTGGCATGCGCAATTGCAACAGAATGAAAAAAAAAAACTCTTCTAGAAAGTACGGTCATTAGTTGAGGCGCACAACTCATTGTTTTATGTTAAGAGGACAAACAATTGCCAAAACTCTAAGTGGTGGGTTCCATCGCGATGGTGCTGGGGCTGGAACTCCAACTCAGTTGATTGTAATAGGAGAATCTCACGCACCCACAGCTCTTGCCCAAACTGCCTCCATCCAAAATTTAGAAGAAGAAAAAGAGAAGAGTTGTTTTATCGAGGAATACTATGCTTTCAAGAAAAGTAGCAAAACGTTGTAGCATGGAGCAAACAGTACCTCGACTCATGAACTTTTTAATATCATATTTAGGCGAAGTAATTGCTCAAAGAAAACGCTGGAAATTAATGCAACTCCCTAATAAGAGGTGTAGGAACGTGCAATAATTGACAGAACTTTTCTGTGTATCTCGATTTGGTTTATGTTCTCCGTGAAAATAGAATGATGAAGGTAAGCCTTTGTTAGATCTACATACAGTGTTTGCGATAAACGTATCCAGGCGTTGCTCAGCTGATTCTGTTCACCATTATAGTAACAACTGGTGTGAACGCCACACCACACATTATGCCTGAAAATCAATTGCGAAATATTCTTTCTTGTGAAATCGTGATGTGAGATTTTTTTCGGCGGGTGGAGGGGTAGTAGTCAAGCAGTAGGTGTTTAAATTGTTCATGCAGTTGTTGCAACGGGACACAGCGAGAGAGGTTCAACGTGACTAACCCGAGCAGGCAGGATGGCGGAAGGGGGGAGGTGAGCTTCGGTCGATCTTATCTAATTCGTTCATACTGATTCACATTTTCTGTCTCTAGGTGCTGTCTCAAAACCGTCCTGTTAGATCTCAATTTTAGCCCAAGCCACCTCCCACGTTGCGCTTGCGAGCTCTTCCATCCCTCGCCACATCTTGTTTCTTATATCAGAGCGGTGACTACCCCTTCCAATTATCATAGTTTGAGCTGAACTGTAACCGATTGATGAGATTTTGTTGGAGCAATGTCAACTTAAGGATACCCTCCGCCCACCACCCTTTGTGAACGAGTCTCCGCTCCTCCATGCTACAGATTCGTCAGGGAGCAACAACATTTCGTGACGAGCATCTACCTCTGAAAGGCCCAAATACACAGCATAAACCTTTAATAGGTAATGCATGGTTGAAGCTGTCATAGTTCATTAACCACATGTGCGATAGTCAAAGTCCAGTGATCTCATTTTGTTTGTTTTACGTTTCCTCTTGTTTGCATTTCTAGTTAAGAGGTGGTCGAAAGACCACACAGACACAGACACAACTGCGACTCAACAGAGAATCGGGGGGGGGGGTTACAGAGTACTTGAATTTTCTTCTATGTTCCTGCCACGAATCTCGCGCATAGGTGATTGGAGATCGATGTCAGGCGCGGCTTCAACTCCCAAGGAGGAAGGTAAGAGCTCTAACATAAGACTTGACCTTGGAGGGGAGGGGAGAGGGAATGTGGCTTGGTTAGCTACCTACAGTGTGTCAGAAGTTTGAATTTGTGAGATCGCAGTAATTTGTTTGAGTAATGAGTTGTTTAGGCGAGAGAGCGGGAGCATCAAATTGAGCAGTTTGAAGGACCGAGTTCACGTAGTCCGTGCACGGAGGGGGGGGGGGTCAGCGCGAGTTACCTGAATGTGGCTCTCTTTTCAATTGTGAAGATGTTTAGATATTGAGACTGCTTATTATTCTCTTTCGAGTCCTCCCAATGAAGTGAACGTTCGTTACATTGCGAGACTCCAAATTTTTCCTCGGACTCGAACGGGTTGTTCAAAAACCTTCCAGTGTTATCTCTCGTACATTTGATTCTTCGATCTTCTCTAGTTCACCACCTGTGATCATCTGTTGGTGTGGGATACTGGCTATCAACATCCAAGCATATTATTAGT